TGGCGGGTCCGGGCTGGGGACTCGAACCCGCCACCTCAGGTGTACGTGGCCGGCGCCCTAGCCGGTTGAGCCATAGGCGCCGAGCCTTGCCTGAAGATTCTTAACTGTCTTAGATGAATGAACAAACTAAAGAACCTTGAAAACAAAATTCTTTTGAAAATCAGTTACACGGCGATCCTTTAAGTTTGAATTGTTTAAAATCTTTCATACTACAAAATCTAAATGTTTTCAGTAACTACTGAAAAATACCACACTCGAAATTCGTTAACAGTTCATGACTAAATAAAAAGCAGAGGAAAATAATCTGACTTTATCATATTGTAAGGTAAGTTACATTTTAAACAGATTCTAATTCATTATGAAATTTATCAGCAAATGTGACAAAACCAATATAACTCTACAAGTAAACTTGTTTTGACCTTTTTCCTCCTTTATTCTATGAAGTTATTGACTAAAATATTTTTTCTCTCTCTCTCTCTCTTTTTTTTTGAGACAAATAAAAGGGCTCAATACAAGGGCTCATTCTGCTGCCCTTGGTAGAGTGCTGTTATATTATCATACCTCACAGCAACCTCAAACTCCTGGGCTCAAGTGAGGCTCCTGCCTCAGCCTCCCAGGGCTGGGACTACAGGTCCGGGCTACCACACCCAGCTAGTTTTTCTGTTTTTAGTAAAGACAGAGTCTTGCTCTTCTTGCTGAGGCTAGTCTTGAACTCCTGAGATTAAGTAATCTGCTCACCTCAGCCTTCTAGAGTGCTAGGATTACAGGCATGACATATTACTGAAAACTACTGTTGACTTTACACTGATGGTACCAACCACCTACCTGCATGGACTGCAGGGTGCAAAGTTTTCACACGACCCCCCAACATTTCAGGAAATCCTGTCAGATCAGAGACATCTCTGGAAAATAGATCAAAAGAACATTACTGCTGCTTTGGCTAAAGTGTCATTTTATACTATTCAAACCATGTCCCATCCTTAAGTCTACTGTTCTCATTTAAAGAAATTTTTGAAACTGAGTTGAACAGAAGAATTTATTCTAGTTTCTTAACTCTTTCACCATATTTGATTTCTTAAACAAAATTCTATTACTTTTCAAAAAAATGTTTTAATATATTTTCTACTGATTTTTACACAGGGAGAATATAGATAGCTAACAGCTCTGATTACATAAACATCAAATGGCACGGTGGCTATGGCCCATAGTCTTAGCTACTCAGGAGGGGGAGATGGAGGATCGTTTGAGCCCAGCCTGGGCAACACAGCAAGAACCTGATTCTAATAAATTAAAACAAAAAAATCTTTTACATTTAATACAAACTGGACCCAGTAGAGAGAGTGAGATGTAGGTAAGGGAAAAACCACCCTCTATATTCCAAGCTTATGATTCTAACTCTTCTGGGAGGTCACTCGGTAACACCCTTCCCTGCCTGTACAAGGGGAAAACAAGCCCACTGTATTCCTTCAAAACAAAAACGTAAACTAGAAAAAACAATCACAAAATATGAAAAAGAGGCAAACGAAGGACAGCATTTAAATATTAATCCACATCGCCAAGCTGACCTCCAGAAAGCTGTGCCTGTCTCCATCATCTCTAGCAGAATTTATAAATTCTAAGGATGTCTAAAAAAGTCCATAGAAAGAAAGAAAAAAAAGAGCAAGAAGCAAAACTGTGAGCACTATGAAGTAAAATGTACGCTTATAAAAATGCTGGAAGAAAAACACACGGACATGTTAAGAACTTGAAGCCTTTTTTACTTCCTACCTTCTTCATAGTTTTGCCACATTTTCAAATTTTCTTCAATCAACACATACAGCCTATGTCATGTCGCCCAGGCTGCAGTGCAGTGGCTACTCACAGGCCCCATCTTAGTGCCCTGAACTCCTGGGCTCAGACTCTTGTCCCAGCCTCCCAAATTGCTGGGGACTGTAATAAGCATTTCAAAGCGGCAAATTTCACCACTAAGACACAGAATTTCTTGGTAAGTTCTCCTATTATAGGAGGATTCACCATTAAGACACAGAATTTCAGCTCGGCGCCTATAGCTCAACCGGCTAAGGCGCCAGCCACGTACACCTAAGGTGGCGGGTTCGAATCCCCAGCCCGGACCCGCCAAACAATGATGGCTGCAACCAAAAAATAGCCGGGCATTGTGGCGGGCGCCTGTGGTCCCAGCTACTTGGGAGGCAGAGGCAGGAGACTCGCTTGAGCCCAGGAGTTGGAGGTTGCTGTGAGCTGTAATGCCACGGCACTCTGCCCAGGGGGACAGCTTGAGGCTCTGTCTCAAAAAAAAAAAAAAAAAAAAAAAGACACAGAATTTCTTGGTTAAGTTCTCCTATTATAGGAGGGTCACTTACAAATGACTATTCAGCCAAGGAACACACAGTTCTAACATCAACTGATGATACTGTTTCAAATTCAAAACTCCTTTTCCTGGAGTTCAGGAAATAAAATCTAGTTCCTCCAACCAAAAAGAATCTCTTAAAACTTAAGAGGAAGCATTGCATTACTAATCATGTGAATTAAACAAAAAAACCCCACAAAACTTAGAGAAGGAAGATTTATTCTTAGAATTAAACATTTGGGGTAATTAAAAAGCACACTACTCCTCTGTATTAAGAATGTGTATGTTAAAAGTAGTAGACTTCAGAAATAATTCTCTGTACGCTCACTGTTATGTACTCAAATGACTAAAATCTCAGTTGACTTCATGACAAGGCAATGGGTAATTTCTTGGGATGAAATTGTTGGGGCTCAGAAAACGATACCCCAAAGTACAGGGCTATAGCATCCTGAGTACCTTGAACTAACGAACAGAGAAGGCCTTAGAACCAGTCTCTTCAATTTCCTCTCACCGTTCATTCTCCCCAAAAAGGCATCAGAGAAACCAGAATTCCTCTTCCCCAAGGAAGGCCATTAAAATTAAAGTCCCTATTCCCCAAAGCCAGTCATAAAAACTAGAATTATTATTCTAACCTTCCTCACTGTCCTGATCTACCCTTGCTCCTGGACAGTAGGTCTGAAGACCTTCAGGAGGAAAGAATGCTCCAACAAGCAATTAGAGTCTGAACAGACTAGTGTCCCCCACCTCAGTCTACTAGCATTAGATAATCTCCTTTTTGCCAAATCATATTTCTACATTGTGTCCATTCTTCATCAACCCGCAGCATAAAAATAGGTGCTTTTCCCTGCCTCTTTATGTCTTCATTCCGAAGGCTCTAATGTCACATAAAACTTCAATTAAATAAATCTTTTATACTTTCCTCAACCTGTCTTTAGTCAAGTATTGGCCCACAAAATCCTGGCCTTTTAACTAGCTGTGTGATCTTAGGCAAGTTACTTAACTTCTTTGTGCCTCAGTTTCCTAATCTATCAAACTCTACCTACAGGAAAAAGTTGTTGTGAGGACTACACAAATTAATATATGTAAAACAAGTCTCCAACTTGTTTATACTTGAATTGACTTTATTAGGCTGAGCTCTAAAATAAACCATTCCTGGTGAACACTCTCATCCTTTAATATGAAAGAAACAGATTTAGATTCCCAATTTTCAAAGAAGATACCATCATAATGGAAGCAAGCAGAATGGGTAAAGGCACAAAGACAAGACTAACTAGCCGATAAATATTTAAACTAGGTGACAGATACAGGACAGGAGGGGATCACCGTATCTTTTTGTTTTTCATCATGCCTAAATGTTTCCATAATATTTGGTGTAAAAAAAGAAGCCACAGATGAGGAATTTAAATTAAGTTTCAACTATACTAGGGAAGACTGTAACAAAAAGAACACACGCGACTTTGTATCCTTATCTTACTGATGTTGAGCCAGCTAGCCTGACTTCATGAGTCTCAGTTACCATGAGAACACATCAGATACAAGGTGCAAGAAGACTTTAGAAAGCACTTGTTTAATAAAGTGAAGTAAGGCGTTCTTGAACCCACACTTTAATAATCTACCCTTACATGGATCTGGAGGCCAAGAAGCAAATTTCCATTCCTTTTTTAAAATATATTTCAGGGGTGGGTATGTCTTTCACTTGAACTCTCATTACAGTTTATGCAACAGTGGTCCTGTGGCCTTTTACTTTCCTCCCTTTGAGTAGAGTTATTCCTCCTTACAGAATGCCAGTCCTTGAGGTCAGGAATATCCAAATATACCAAAGGTACGGTCTTTCTTTCCACTGCCTAGTCAGGTAATGAAGAGCTTGTAAACGAGCGAATGATTTGTACTTTCACCTGGTTACCAGAGATTCCAAGAAAGGGTAGATCATATACATCATAACTGGAGTTTTTCTTGCATAACAAATGCCCCACCTAAGTTTATTTGTTAAAGGAAGTGGCCAAGAACTAGCATTGAAACATCAGACAAGCGGGCTCCCATTCTAGCTGTGTCAACTCATGCATCAGTTCTGAAACCTGTGAGCCCCACTCCCCAGACAAGGCGAGCACTGTCCCAACCTCCAGCGTCTGGGGGTGGTGAAGGAGACATTTTACTCACAGCCCTGGGACGCTTCCTGTTATGTGCTCAACACTCCCTCCTGCGCCTTACCTCACGGCTAGCCCAGCATCCCTGAGAGCTTTTGCAGTCCCTCCGGAAGCAATGAGATTCAAACCCAGAGAAGTTAGGGTTCTCGCAAATTCCACAAGGCCGGTTTTGTCAGAGACACTGAATAGGGCTGAAAGAGAAGACGTTTGAGCTCATTACTCGCAGTATGTTACTCTGCGTTCTCCAAGGCCTAGGTAGGGGACCTGGGCGAGGAGAGTCAGGAACCGCACGGCCACCGAGGGGCCCACCGTCCGCAGGCCTCGCGCCGGGGACTGCGAGGGCCCGACTCCCGCAGGCGGCACACGCGGACCCCACCGGGCGGGGCAGGCCCGAGCGCAGAGTCGCGATCACGCTGGCCGCCGCCATTGCGCGAGCGCTGGGGACCGCGCTGGACCGCGGGGCCGGGACGCAGACGGCACCTCCCCACCCGGGCCTCACCGAGCTGGCCGGGAGCCATGGCTGCAGCAGCGGGGTCCGGGGACTAGCGGCCGGCGGCTGGGGAAGGCCACGTGCGGAATGAGGCGGCGGGTCCGCACTATCAGCCCTGGCAGCGGCAAGGCGGGGGCGGGCACCTGGCTTGTCACGTGGCCCCGGCCCCGCCCACCCCCGCGCCCCGCCCGGATGCGTCTGGAGGAGAAGTTGGCGCCGCGGGGCCAGCGGAGGAGTTGGGTGGGGCTCCAGTTGGCGCTCTGGGCGCAGCTTGAACTTGAGAGGATCCCGCGAGGCGGGTGGTTCCTGCTTGAAATCCTAGCGCTCAAGGCCAAGATGGGAGGATGTCTTGAGCTCTGGAGTTGGAGACCAGCGTGAGCAAGACTAGTCTATATTAAAAATAGAAAACTAGCAGGTAGTGGTATAGCACCTGTAGTAGTCCCAGGTACGCGAGAGGCTGAGGCAGGAGGATCTTTTGAGCCCAGGAATTTGAGGTTGCTGTGAGGTGGGCTTACAACCCCGCATGGCACTCTAGCCTGGGCAATAGAATGAGACTTTATCACACAGAGACAAAAGAGGCCCCCATCTCTAACATCCCAACCTGTTTGTGGGAGCCAGAGATCCCTTTCTCCCACCCAAAGTGGGGGCACCCTTTAGCCTCTGGAGCAAACACCTGCCACCTGAGACAGCCTGTCACCTGGCGCAGCCAGTCCCCAGACTCTAGAAAATAGAGGAAAGTGCCCCAACTACCATTAGCGAAAACAAAGGAAACACAAGGAATAGTTCATAGAGAGGCCAAACTAGAAAGAATCTGGACAACCATCTGCCATCTTCCATTTCAATGGGTTTAAAAAATAAAATGGAAGCCTAAAGATCTAAGTGGGGGACTCATAGTCCACAGATTACAGTCAAAATGAGGTGAAATTGACATTATTATTTTTTTTTTTTGGAGGGAGAATCTCACTTTGTCGCCTTCAGTAGAGTGCTGTGACATCACAGCTCACCGCAACCTCAGACTCTTGGACTTAAGCGATCTCCTGCCTCAGCCTCCCGAGTTCTGGGACTACAGGCGCCCGCCACAATGCCCGCCATTTTTTTGTTGCAGTTGTCACTGTTAATTGGCAGGCCCAGGCTGGGTTCGAACCCACGAGCGCCCATGTATATGACCGGCACCCTAACTGCTGAGCTACTGGTGCCAAGCTATTCACTTAATTTTTTATTGAACATTATAAGATTGCCTAAAATCGGTTTCAAAATGGTGTCTTCTTGCAGATTAGTAAACATTATTTTGCCTCAGGCCTGGACTGGCGAATGTTAATGGTTAAAGGGTGGGAAAAGACCTTTCTTTTTTTTTTGAGACAGAGCCTCAGGCTGTCCCCCTGGGTAGAGTGCCATGGCATTACAGCTCACAGCAACCTCCAACTCCTGGGCTCAAGCGAGTCTCCTGCCTCCGCCTCCCAAGTAGCTGGGACCACAGGCGCCCGCCACAACGCCCGGCTATTTTTTGGTTGCAGCCGTCATTGTTGTTTGGCGGGTCCGGGCTGGGGATTCAAACCCGCCACCTTAGGTGTACGTGGCTGGCGCCTTAGCCGGTTGAGCTATAGGCGCCAAGCCAGGACCTTTCTTAGTTCATTGAAAACAGGGAAAGCAAAACGGAGCACATTTGTTTCTTTTCTGAAGTGGCACCTTAGTCGAAAATAAATATGTATTGCTGTCTACACAAGTCTTTGTAAATGCTCCTTATCAGAATTGTGTAACAGAATAATAGCATTGCCTATCTTTTAGTCTGGGCCTCGCAGCTCTGAAAGGAAGTCTGTCTTATTATCTACTTGCCATTTATTTTGTTCTTTCTTCTTTCCTTCTCGAACTCTTCCAGTATGTTCTTTACTCCTCAAAATCAATACCTATTGGCCTACAATCGACAGTTGTATCTTTAGAACTCTATGCTAACTCTTTGCTCTGAATACTTCTCAGATTTCTAAGAGAAATATATTAAGCTTATCACAATGTCTTCAATGTGTATGCCAGCTTTGAATTTAACAGACAAAGTTCACAGCCGGTAGTAAAGGAAATTTCCTTGGCCAGTCACCATTAGGTTTTTATGGTAAATGGAAAGCTGGGGAAGGAGAAAACAATGCTGAGATTTATTGATGAGACGGAATAAACTGTGCTTAGACGCTATGCACGTTTCCGTCCTGTGCATGGCAAATATTTATTCAATTCAATAAATTTCTATTCAGACTTCTCTGCCTGAATGGCAGAGACACAATGTCAGAAGACAGCGATAAATATCACCTAAGCATTATCTTCAAGGAGCTCATGATGGAGTGAAAATATAGACTCGGAGTTACATACAGCTAGAAATACTAACAGAGAAAATGTGGCATTAAGATGATTTCATAGAGGCCTTTTCATTGCAGACCAAGACACAACTCCTTTCATTTGAAGATGTTTACATACTCTGATTAATTTTAACTAATTATCTCCTAGTTTTAGAGTCTAGATTTGATAAGCACTTCTTTTTTTTTATGCCTTTGAAGGTTTTTTATTCCTTTATTTATTTTTTTTGCTGGGGCTGGGTTTGAACCCACCACCCTCAGTATATGGGACCGGTACCCTACTCATTGAGCCACAGGCGGCACCCTGATAAGCACTTCTTAACCTAACGGTGAAAAGAGTAAATGAGTTTTTCTAGCTTTGTGATCCTAGCCAACAAACTCCATCTTTGGGGACCTTAGCTATAATAGAGACATAGTATTTGTTCTGCTGTCCTCACCATATTTAAGAAGCAAATTAAGTATAGGTAATTGAAAGTGCAAACTGTAAAGTAACTAAATAAGGTTATTACCTAATCTTCTTCTTGGCTCATTCTCTTGATGTGGCCAATCAGGTATCTTGGTGAGCATAAGAGTATGTCCTCAGAGATGCTAGTCATGAGGAAGCTAGTGTCTTAGCAATGGAAGGTGAAGACTGGGATTGGTGGCTTAGTAATCCTACCACTCTGGGAGGCCAAGGCAGATGGATTGCTTGAGCTCAGGAGTTTGAAAGCAGCCTGAGCAAGAGCAAGATCCCAACTCTATTAAAAATAGAGAAACTAGCTGGGCATTGTTGTGGGCACCTGTAGTCCCAGCTACTCAGGTGACTGAGGCAAGAGGAGCTCTTGAGCCCAGGAGTTTGAGGTTGCTGTGAGCTAAGAAGATGCCACAGCACTCCCCGCAGGGTGGCAAAGTGAGACTCTGTCTCAAAAAAAAAAAAAAAAGATAAAAAGAAACGAAAGTTGTTTTCACAAAGACATGGACTCATCTCTCTTTAGGATTTTTCCCTGGCATTATTGTTTCAGACAGACAGAAAAGAACACGTAAGGCTTATAGAGTAGAACCTCCATAGTTGACCACCTCTTTAAGTTGACCTGATTTTCATAGATCAGACATGCACCACATGAGCTGATCAGTACAGTAGGCCTAGTTCCTTATATTGACCACCTCTGTATATTGACCAGTCTGTTGAGTGATGAACTTACAAAGGTTCTACTGTATTTGCATTTCTTCTCTTTTTATTTCATACTTTTCCCAAAAAGAGCTTGAAGGCCCTAAGATCATATTACAATACTTAAAAATATTCTCTCTCTCTCTCTATATATATATACATATATACATACATATTTTATATATATAGAGAGAGAGACTATATATATCTTTCAGTTCTCTCTCTATATACATATTTAAGGAACTGAAACAATTTATATATATAATATATATGCAATTTATATAAAAATATATGTTATATATGCAATTTTATTTGAAAAATATATGCAAATATATATATTTATATATATATGTATAAATATATAAAAATTATTTCAGTTCCTTGAATATGTATCTTTCAGTTCAGAATGCTATAATCTGTTTTTTGCCTCTGTGAGATTTGTTCCATGTGTAAGTTTATCGCTTTCTCCAAAAAGCTTCCATCCCACTTCTAAATCTGGGATCCCCACTGGACTTAAAGGATTAACAAACTTGCCTCATCTCGAGCTTTTTTCCAAAGTTTTGTCCACTCAAGTGAGTTAAATCTATCAGATAAAGTGATTCCTGGGAGGTCGTAGATTATTATATTAATGTAGTAAGTATTGTCTTCAAAACTACTGTCTACCTTAGTCCAGAAGATTAAACTATTAACATATTAGGAATTTTGAACCTGGAGCTGTTTAGAATTAAAAAGTTGGAATAATACAAAGAACAAATTAGACTAGCTAGAGGCGTAGAAAACAGTTAGGAAGGTTTTGCGTTCACCCACAGGTACTCCTAACCAAAGATCTGACAACATGGAAAAGAAGGCATGTATGTGAGACAGGGTCGCTGATAAAAATCCATAGCATGTGGGGATCAGTTAGATATATATGATATTGGACAGAAAAAAATGAGGATGTCGCCATCATTTTGAGCTTGATCATATGAGTAGCTGTTGAGACAAATAACCAAAATAAAAATACATGTATAAAAGAACAGTTTCGACATGTGTCTACTTTTATGTAAAGTCAGTGAGAGGAGTTAGGTCAATATCTCTGCGTTTCTAAGTGTGGATTTTGAAGTACAGGTAACTGAGGAACACAGATTTATACAGTATGTTGTTGGAAATACAAATGGATATCCAGAAAGGAAGTGAGGTCAAAGATAAATAAATTTGGAAAGTTAATGACACTGAAGTAGCGGTTGAAGCCTGGAAGAAGACAAGCTGGTTTAATTAGATCTAGCAAATAGCCTGAGCAAGGAAGAAAGCCGAAGAAAAGAAATCCATTCAAGCAAGACTTGAATGTTGTAAGAGTTCACATAGATGTTAACCATTTAAACTTCACGTGATACCGTGGTTGACAGAGTCACAAAAATAAAACGATGGTAAATGTTTCTCTATTTATTGAGGATATTGTTCATTCATTCCTTCATGAAGTCATTCAAAAATTATATATTGAGAGTCTGCTGTGTACCAGGGGCTGACGGCAATGATGAAAACAAAAACTCTGCCCTCATGGAGTTTACATTCTCAGAGGAAGAAATAGTCAATCAAATAAGAAATGCTTCAAATCTGCAAAGTGTTAGATGAGGAGATAC